TGCTGTCCCCCGCCGGCGGCGACCCAAACAGCCGCGGACAAACTGGTTTGGGGTGGCAGAAACTACTTATTTCCCTCGTGGGAGTCATTTTTAGCACCAAAGCCGGGTTAAAGGGTTAAAAAGCTGGGCAGTGGTTGGCAGGGACACAGGTTTTGGGTGCCCCTGTTCAGGGCGCTCCGTCCCCAGGAGGCCACGCGGTCGGTCGGTCTGTCTGTCTGTCTGTCTGGAGAGGGAATTCAAAAAACCACCCCAACCTCTGCTTCTTTCAGCTATTTCGTGCCGTACGTGGAATCTCTGAGCTCAGAACGAGGGATGTCGTCATCATTGTAATTAGAGAGAGAGGAGCGGTTGCTCGGGAGGTCACGAGCCGCGGCCCCCCAGACCTTCTGCCGCCCCGTGAGGCGATGCTCCCCCTCCGGCACTGAGCCCCGGCGCCACCGTCCCCGCGTGGGTGACCTTGGCGTGGGGGAGCGGGGCTGGAGCGAGCCCCAACGCCGCGCTCAGAGCTGCGGGTTGGCTGGACGCGGGGCGCTGGGCTCTGCGGGACCCGAAAACACCGCTCCCTGCCCCGCGCCGAGGTCCGAGCGACGGTACCCGCATCCCCTCCCTCCCGCCTGACTCCTCTTCTCCCTTTTTGCCTTTGCAGTGAGAAACGCGCTCTGCAAGTCAGCGTCACCAACCCGGTCCAGTGCAGCCTGCACGGGCGGAAATGCACCGTCTCCGTGGAAACCAAGATTAACCAATCCCAACCGGATTTCACCAAGCATCGTTCCGGTTTCATCCTCTGCGTGCCGGGGAATTAGCATCCCCCCCCACCTCCGCTTGGCGCAGCGAGCCCGGAGAGAGCGAGAGCGAGAGCGAGAGCGAGCGGAGGAAAGAGGGACGGGGGCGTTGATGGCCCTCCCCGCGCCTCGGACTTTGCAAAGGGATTAATTTAGAGATGCTCAGCTGTGACTTGGGCATGCGCCTGAAACGATCTCTAGAGCTAGAGGTTTAGCAAACCCAAATTCAGGAGAGGGTTTTACTACCACATGCAACGAAGGCTTAAAATAGCCGACGACCTGTATCCATCTTACAAAACAGGCCGGAATGGCAGGAAAGTGCTTCTGAATTAGTCCAAAAAAAAAAGCATTTATAGGTACTTACACCCTTTCCTCCCTTCCCCGCGTTGATTTCTTAAACCCTCTCTGCTGTTCCCCTCTGCATTTCTTTTTTTTTTGTGTGTGTGTCTTTTTTTTGCAATATTACGCAGCCTCCCCCGGAGGAACCAAAGACACCCGGCTCAGGGAGTCCGGTCCTGCGAGACCGAATCCCCGTGGAAGCGGGGCCGGGTTTGGAAAGGAGGGACGGCTGCCCCCGCCGGGAAGACCCTCCG